AATTCTGCCTGACTGCTTGTCAGCTGGACTCCAGAATATTTATATTTGTTTGTTTCCTTTAACCACTGAAGTACAAGTTTTACTTTGAGTGTTTGGAAAAAAGTCTTATGCTCTGCTCTGCACTGCAGCAACATCCCTCCGGACAAAAAGAGCTAAACATAACTCTATTCAGAGCCAGTCATTTCCAGTCCCACTACATTTCCGGGAGTGGACTAGGAAGTAATTCTCAAGTAATTCAAAAGTTCTCTCTTCCCCCAGGGAATGATACTGCTTCTGCAGTGTTCCAGACCCCATCAGTCCACGAAGAAAAGGGCTCTGTCTATCCTGAGCTGATCACCTACATTGCAGCACATTTCATTGCCAACAGAATGCTGGGTCAGCCTTATTTCACTTCTTTTAAAAGCAGTCTGTTAGCAAATGATTCAAAGCAGTTCTGAAAATACATGTATTGCTATCAGCAGTACTGAACTTAATATACAAGGCATTTCTACAGTTTCCTTCCTAAATCCATCCTGGAGTTATTACGTCAATACAGAAAGGAAGAGGTAGTAAATCAAAATTCCATCCAATTATGCAAAGCACAAGTTATAATGAGAACACATTACCATTAATAAATATAAACTTAATGTGACAACCATGTACTATTTATGTATATGTTTCCAAATAGCTGAACATTTTTAATGCTAAGTGAAACAAACTGCTAAAAAGTGTTAGACCCTTCTCTCTCTCTCTCATACACTCTCTCTCTCTCTCATTCCCAAATTCACATTTTCAAAAATGTTTTTCATTCATCATGGGCTTTATTGTATCATCTGTTTTTAAGAGGCACTCCTTATGGACTGCAGTTGGGAATTCTGCTTAAAAACTGATGGTATTGTAATGATAGCTGGAACTCTGAAGTAGGAACCAAAGTTACCCATAGTGTTGTATGTAATGAGCCTTATCAGCAGAAGGACGTGGCTTGTACTTGGAGCTAGGCAGGCAGGCCAGCAACAGCTATCTGTACAGTCTTATCAAAAACAAGTTAAGTAAATTGTTTACTGTTATTTAAAAGTCTCCAATATGTTATTTTATGTTAGCAACAGCTATTACAGTACTATATGGCCCATGAACAGGCTTAAATCAGCACATGCTTGAATTCTTATCAAACCCATTTTTGTAAGGTTAGCAAAGTTCAAGAAAGAAAGAAAAATTTAGCAATAAAAGCAATGTAATATTAATTAGTGTGTGTAAACATAACTGATAGATGTTTCTGTATAGTTCCTAGCACAATGCACCCTTCAATAGATATATTCCTCCCAACCCCCCCATAAGGATTGAAGGGTGCATTGTGCTAGGAACTATACAAAAACATAGAAAGACAGTCACTGCACCGCATGGAATTTACAATCTAAATTCCCAATTCTGTGATGAGCTCTGTGTGGGCACCAGGGTCCATTTATTGCAGGAACAGGACCTATGGTCTAAATTCTGAGGGACATATTTTCAAAGATATTTAGGTGTCTAAAGATGCAGATAGGGGCCGAATAGGATTTTCAAAAGTGCCTCAAATTTTTCTGACAAATAGATTATTTGCTATAACATGCAGTTTCAGGTCAACCAAAACTATTTGCAAATTTGGTCAAGTTGGCCAAACGGTTTCTACTGAACTGAAAAAGTCAAAACTTTTTGTGGTGGCTGCTGGTGGTGGCACCACCTCCCTTATAAGCCTTAATCTAGTGGTTAGGGCACTCACCTGGGATGTGGGAGACCCCGGGGCAATTCTTCCCTTTGTCTGCTGAGGAGAAGGAATTTGACTTTGGGTTTCCTGCATTGCAGGTGAGTGTCCTAGCCAAAAGACTATAGAATATTCCGCCATGGGGCTCTCTCAGTCTCTCCTCTTGAAAATAAATAAAATAGTCATCAGAGCAGGGATTTGACCTTGCATCTCCCACATACCAGGTGAGTTCCCTAATTACCAGGCATCATCTCTGGCCAAATGACTCTCCATTGTCATCATGAATGACTACAAATAGGCTTGGATTAGATTTTTATTGGTCAATGTCTACTTCACTGTACACAATCAAAAAATGACAAAAAAATTTCCATCAATAATAATCAAAATTTACAGATAGGCAAAGTTAGAAAAATTCTGCTTGTGAACTTATTGGAGTTCAAATTAAGGATATTTATTTTGAATATTTTGACATGATGTTGAAAATTTGCATTTGAACAGTCATAACTTTATAACAGTTTTAACTTTGTCTATCTCAATGTCTACCATCCTTAAATAATTGTCTGACCCCACCCACTGCCAAACCCACAGTTATGAAAATTTAAATAAATAATCATTTTTAAGAAGTTTAAACCCCACAATCTGGCACAGCTGTGAAAATTTAAATTGATAAAAATCAGGAGGGAAATGCTTAAAAATATTGATATTATCTGTCAAAATTATAAAGGAAAAAAAAACCAAATTCTGCCAAGCCTAACTGAGTTGCCACTATAAATGACAATGGATAGCCACACATCCCAGGTAAGTGCTTACCCACTGTGCTTAAAGCTGATAAGGGAGGCAGCAGCACCACCACAACCTGTTTTGTCCAACTAGTTTTCCTTCCTTTTCTCAAAACATCTGAAAGTTGAAACAAAATTTGTCAGGTTGAAATGTAACATTTTGTTTTAACATTGGCAAAATGTTTTGTTTTTACTTGACTTTTTTTGACATTTCGAGTTGCTGAAAAACTAAAAAAAAGTTTTCAGTTTGATCCAAAACAAAACTTTTCTGATTTTTTAAAATTGCCAGTGAACCAAAAAAAAACCAAAAAACCCCACAAACATTATTCACCCAGCTCTAGCCCTACGAGCTTAGCTGAATCAATCACATTTTCCAAAATTTACGCAGTAGCTTTTAAGTGAAAAATGATTTCACATGGATGTACTAACTGACAAACTTACAGTTATATGAACAAACATGCAGTCCATGTAACAAAGTAATTATGTGCTCTGGAAATACAAACTGTGAAAGTCACCAGGGCCTGATGAAACACATCCTAGAATACTCAAAAGAGCTAACTCAGGAGGTATCTGAGCCATTAATGATTATCTTTGAAAAGTCATGGAAGATGGGAGAGATTCCAGAGGATCAGAAAGGGCAAATATAGTACCAATTTATAAAAAGGGAAATAAAGACAACCCAGGGAATTATAGATCAGTCATCTTAACTTCAGTACCTGGAAAGATAATGGAGAAAATAGTTAAGCAATCAATTTTCAAACATCTAAAAGATTATAAGGTGATAAACAGTCAGCATGAATTTGTCAAGAACAAATTGGATCAAACTGACTTATTAGCTTTCTTTGAATGGGTAGCAAGTATTGTGGATAGTGGGGAAGTGGTAGATGTTGCATATCTTGACTTTCATAAACAAACTAGGGAAATATAACTTAGATGGAGCTACTATAAGGTGGGGGCATAACTGGTTGGAAAACTGTTCCTAGAGAGTAATCGGTGGTTCACAGTCAAGCTGGAAGGGCATATCAAGTGGGGTCCTGCAGGAATCAGTTCTGGTTCTGTTCAGTTTCTTCATAAGTGATTTAGATAATGGCACAGAGAGCACACTTATAAAGTTTGCAGATGATACCAATCTGGGAGGTGTTGCAAGTGCTTTGGAGAATAGGATTAAAATTCAAAATGACCTGAAATGATGAAATTCAAAAAGGACAAATGCAAAGTACTCCACTTAGGAAGGAACAATCAATTGCATACATACTAAATGGGAAATGACTGCCTAAAAAGGAGTACTGCAGAAAGGGATCTGGGGGTCATGGTGGATCACAATCTAAATATTGGTCAACAGTGTAATACTGTTGTAAAAAAAGCAAACATCACTCTGGGATGTATTAGCAGGAGTGTTGTAAGCAAGACACAGGAAGTAATTCTTTGCTCCACTCCACACTGATTAGGCCTCAACTGGAGTATTGTGTCTAGTTCTGGGTGCCACATTTCAGGAAAGATGTAGACAATCTGGAGAAAGTCCAGAGAAGAGCAACAAAAATGATTAAAGGTCTAGAAAACATGACCTGTGAGAGTAGATTGAAAACATTGGGTTTGTTTAGTCTGGAGAAGAGTAGACTGAGAGGGGACATAACAGTTTTCAAGTACATAAAAGGTTGTTACATGGAGGAAGAAGAAAAATTATTGTTGTTAACCTCTTAGGATAGGACAAGAAGCACTGGGCTTAAATTGCAACAAGGGAGTTTTAGGTTGGACATTAGGAAAAAGTTCCTAACTGTCAAGGTGGTTAAGCACTGGAATAAATTGCCTAGAGAGGTTGTGGAATCTCCATCCTTGGAGATTTTTAAGAGCAAGTTAGACAAACATCTGTCAGGGATGGTCTAGAGAATACTTATTCCTGCCATGAGTGCAGGGGCCTGGACTAGATGACTTCTCACGGTCCCTTCCATTCCTATGATTCTATGATAATGGCACTCATTTCCTCCACTCATGGTGCACGGTGTTTTAGTGTGCTGGATCATGATTTTCCAAAACACAATGCACTCTGATGCTTCTCTCGCTGACATAATGGGGAATAAATATCTATACATGTATTACTTAACTGCCCAGGAGCTAGATGCTATGAACCACAGGTGCTCAGATAGCTAATCAGATAGTACAAGATAGCTTAAGTAGCATAAGGCAAGATGTCTCCAGCGCCTGAGAAGGGATCATGATGCATTCTGGAGGTGGCATCTGGAGTATAGTATTGAGCTTATTGTATATTATTTTAGCTATTAAGTTATAAATCCAGCTGGCATGTTCTCAGAATTACACAGCCTAGGAACCTTATTGGTCAATCATATTGATCTCTGAGTCCATGTAATTTCACATGAAGCTTAATACAATGACAAGCATAGAATTTTACATACACATATACCAATACCACTGTAAATATGTACAATATCATGTGCATGCAAATTTGTAACCATGTTCACAATTTATCTTCTTGCACTTGTTCTTACCTGCTTCAGAACTGGTACATTCTTGAACTGCACTAACTGAACTAGGGGGCAAAACGTCATCATCAAAACTGATAAGATCTCCTTCCCCAACTGGTTTACTTTGCAAAGTACATGTTGAGAGGTTGGTTGGAGCCGATGACTCTCTCAGGGACTTGAAAGCTGTTGCTTGGGTAGCTACCGAGAGACTGGGAGCAGTGATGGTTGGTTTTAGTAAAGTCAAATGGGGGGCAGGACTTTCTACAGAAAGAGACTTTTTGGGAACGAGTGGCCTTGGAGCAGGAACTGGGAATTTCTTCTGTTCATCATTGTTCTCTGAAGCTGACCCATTCCTTGCATCAAGCAAATCATTACTAGTACTTTTTACAAGGCCAGGTTTTGGTTTCTTTGGCAATTCAGGTTTGGTTATGACATTACTCCTGGCTTCTTGAGGTTGAGGGTGCCATTTCCTGGATGTATCTTTTTGTGTGTTTTCTGTCCATGAACCCGACTCTCCTGAAGCTCTCCTGGCCCCTAGCTCTGGTTTTGGAGCTATTATTGGCTTCTTTGTAGAAACAGTTGGTCTTGGGACAAATGATCGTGGAGCAATTTCTGGTTTCTTTGATAATCCTGAGATATCAGAATTTGCTTGGGATTCAAAAGCTTTGATCCTTGAACCAATACTATTTTGGCTTTTTTCTGTATTCATACTGTTCATCACCATGTGATTGTCCAATAAGTTATTATCTAAGAGGGACACTGGCTGACTTGGAGATGGCTCCCTTTCAGCTCGAGGCTGGCTCACTTCTTCCTGATTGTCTTGTGATTTGCTTTGAATATCTCTGACCACAGGTCTGAGATTGCCTTTTGATCTTGGTTTTGGCAGTGGACCGGTCACATTACTGGGATTTTCTTGGCACTTCCATTCTTCAGACACTTCAGAGACAACTAAGGGAGCCTCATTTTCTGAAGGATTGCTATTTAAGAGAGGTCTGGGAGGTTTGAGAGGACTTTGCACTGCTGACAGAAAAGAGAAGCTTTCAAATTGTATTCTGACACATCTTAAACACAAATTTACTTTGTCATTTGGCCTCTCTAACCATTCTAACTGGAAATCCACCAACTATTTCCACTTAGAACTCACTGTTTCTTGTGTTACATTTGTCATTCTCCCTTTTTCAAGGGGGCAAAAATACATTACACTCTAGAAAAGAATTGATCTTTGCACAAATGCATAGAATTTACAAGTAATAAGTCCAAAATTACTTTGCTGACTTGCAGCACTTTCATTTTAACATACTCAAAGCACCATCAAATAAAGAAAAATATTTTAAAAATGTTTCATGACATTGAGGGTTTCCCAGCAGTGGCTAGAACAAGGAATAGTACAGCAGCTTCTCCAACCAGCTTTGCATACATCTCAGTCCTGACCTACAACCTCCCTGTTTTTTCATTCATTTTTTTCAGATTCTCTGGCCAAAAAGGATTGCAAATACAGCTAAAATGGAAAAATACTTGTAATGCATTATAGCCTAGGGTGATATTAAAGAACAACACGTTTTTACTTTTGACACAGACCAGAATGGAGTATTAGGTCATCAGAGGTAAGAAGCAAATGCAGTAATTCATAGCAGCACCTAGTCCATAAGTGAAATACTTTTATTGGATGTAGAAAGGATTAAATTGATTTTTAAAAACACCCCCAGAACACTATCTGTAAAATCTTTGATAATATGAAGTCCATAGAGCATTTACCTTGAACAATTTCAGATTCACAGAGAGTAGGTAGGTTGTTTTTTACATTACTTCTTGGCAAATGGCTGATTATTTCCTCTGGAAAGTCAGTCTGTGTTGCAGACGTAGCAGTGCATCTAGAAGCAGCAGCAGCATTATTGTTATTTGTTGTATTGACTTGCACTTGGTTAATTTCTTTTATCACCTGCTCATAAGATGGTGGAAGCTACAAAAGAAAAAAGGTAAAAATTTTAATGTGTCCATATGTGAAAATTAAAAAAAAAAAAAAAACTTACATGAATTCAGAAATGCTACACTGACATGTACAACAAAAAAACAGAGTAGTTCTCTTTTAAGAGGACAATGAGTTCTGGTGATGTTATTGTTCCTCTTTGCACTTTAAAATTAACATGAATTACACATGTAACCTAAATACGTCCCTTATCTGCTCACCTCAGCTGGAACAAGCTCATTTGTCCTCCAGTTAGTCTGGGAAGGAGGAGGGAATCCTAATCCTTGTGGAGTGACATTTCCACCTGGAAACCAGGAGGATGGTCTGAGAGGCTCAGCAGCAACTATTGTAATCTCAGGACGTCTGCAAAGAAACATAAACAAGGTGATTGCGGGAGAGGGAAGGAATGACTGGCTAGCAAGTTTTACAATAATGATTTGAATAAATACTAAAATAATATGTTTTCCTAGTAGTTCCAGTTCTGTTTTGCAAAGATGCCTTGTATGATTTCATACAGTCACTTAACCTTTCTGGTCCCAGTGAAGCAAGCACTCAGGGTCCCCATTCAGCAGAGCACTTAAGTACATTCCTACCTCTAAGCAAAAGAGAAATTCTATTGACTACAACAGGCTATTCATGTACTTCAAGGTAGGCATGTGCTTAAGTACTTTACTAGAAGGTGTCTTTGTGTCCTTGTGGGATAAAGTGGTTTGGGAATCTTCTGATGAAAGGCACTAATAAATGCAAAGCATTATTATTAACTACTGTGTAGAAATAATGCAAGGCAACGAAACAAATTTAAGATGATTTTTTTAAAATTAAGATGTCTAATCCAAGATAGTGCAAGGATTTGGGCTAAATGTGTACCTTTTCACCTGTTCAGCCCAGTGAGAAAACAAATTGCAACATTCATGTCATGATTTTTTTATTCATATTTATTGGTTTTTTTTTTATTTTGTGGCACAACATTACATGTAGAACATGTTAAAACTGCAACAAACTTTTTGTGAATATTTAGGCTGATTTTTTTAAATGAATTTACTTCAGCCATGCTACTTGTGTTCATTTCCTTTGATCATTTACAAGACTGAGTTTTAACTAACATGAATACTCACAGAAAGCTAATTGAAGGCTACACAAGTGAGTTTTCATGCTGGGAGTTTTTGTGTACTAATCTAATCAGAGAACAAAAACACCACCATGTGATATATCTGACCAATTAGAACTATCCTTAGTTTGAATAGAGAATATTGAATATTCATGGAGAATTGTTCATATTGAATCCCACAGAGTTTAAAAATTCACAAAGATTACAAGTAATTTGGAGTGAAGACCAAATCTGAGGAAATCATGAGGAAAAGAAGCTAAAGTTTTCAACCAATTAATTTGTTCTAATTTATGGACATGGATCAAATTACTGCTGTTTTCTCTGTTTTTGTGTATGCCGTTGTTCACATGTGATTCTAGGCTCACTTATGCTGCGCCTCCTAAATATATTTAATAAACAGTTTAAACACTTTTCAGAATATCTAGTTGGCAGTGAACAGTTCTCAACATAATTAATAATAATATTAAATGTTACCACACTGCACTGGCTACCTACTAACAAGTGGCAGAAGGTGGGGGGAATTTAATGTGTTTATTTAGAAAGCCTTACCTGGTTTCGTTCTTTGATACCTAAAGGCTTGTCTACATGGAGAATTTTAGGAAAATCTCCCCCCAGTGCTAAAGCAAGGGTAATCAAGCCTCAAACTCTGTAGGGCAGAGCCTGCCCTTTTGTTATATTTGTGAACAATGCTTAGCACAATGGGGCCCCAGTCCCTGATTCCAAACTCTAGGTGCTACCACAGCATAAATAATGATAATGCTTCTGACTGTAAATCAATTGCCTACAAGAGTAAAGGATGTATTCCCTATCCCCCAGCACCGATATTCAGTATTGCACAACAGTGCTCTGTGGAATCTTTCAAGATAGTCTGCATAATAAAATATTTTTGAGAACCAAACAGTGTTGGGAGGGGGGTGGGATCCAGAACATGTCTCTATTGTGAAACTGTCCATAGAATGAAAAGCTTGGCGAACACTTTGCTGTATTAATGAGTTGTATGCCTTTCTTGGCCATTGCAGTATGCTGGATATCTGACTACATGGACCATTTGTTATGGTAACTTCTTCTGTCATTTTGCTATCAGAAAATGCACAAATATATGTTTAAAGGGTACTTTTAAAAAAGGATAGGAAGGTTATGACAGGTTAATCGGGGCTCTCTTTCTGAGCAGCTGTAGTGTGTGTGTGTGTGTGTGTGTGTGTGTGTAACTTTGTATTTTCAACCTGAAATGATCACCTAGAAATGGAGGCCATAAGTTTTTTAAAAATTTCAGACCAAAAAAATCTATCTTCTTAAAGTCTCATTATTTTTAAAATGTATTTATTTCTTTGGTTCCAGTCATTACTGTTTTCGCACTGAAAAATCAGAAAAAAAACAACAGAAGAACAAAAGTAGGATCCTGACAGGATCCGTTAAAATAAACTCTAAAGCCAACTATTAGGATGACATGTGATTGAAATATAAATAACCATGTTATACCTTCTATCTCTCTGATGTTCGGTATGAGAAGAAGTCCGAGAAGCTATTAAAGTAAAAGAAAGAAAAACAAAGTTAATCTGGACTTGTACAGCAACAAAATAAAGATAGTGATACTAAAATTCTCACCAAGCTATCATAAATTACTGACTGTACATAGCATTTGATCATAAACTACAGATTTCTAAGAATGGCCATAGCTAAATAAAAATTATTTGTATTTAACACAAGACAAAATTTTTTAAAGCTATTCTTTAGCAATACTTTGAGATTGACACAGAATATACATATTTACACATACACTGGAGTTCAAGAATCCCTTAAGGCATGTTGTGTGATTCAGACAACTTGCAGTGAAAAGAAAGAAAAGATCCAAAACAGTTACCGCAATATTAAATACATATGATTATGCTTAAAACCACATGAAAGCTGTGAAAGAAACTAACAAAAGCAAGAAAATTAATGAAAGCAAAGCTACCAGATCCTAACACACACTTTTGTGCCTTTTTGTTTTTCACCAATCCATGAATTAAGAACAGAGTAATAAACCTTAACCTTGTCTTTTGACAATTTATTTCCTAGACTTTGTGTAAAGAAAAAAAAAAAACTTAACATGTTTGTTAGTTCAAACTTTTGGTTTGGTTTAATAATTATTTTTTAAAAATCTAATCCAATGCAAAAGATATTTACCTGAAAAACTATTTCAGTCTACTGGGTAAATATATAATAGAATTGTGTGCAGGAGAAATTTACTTAGCATTGCTTATTAAAAAATTAATCCAATGTCCATTTATCAGAGTTTAAATTCTCGGGCATTTAATTCACACAAATAATGAGACCATTTCTGGGCTAATAGTTAACTACATTTATTTTTTATATCCACTGCATTTTGGATTTTCACAAGCTCATTAAATCCTCACTCACTAATCCTGTATTTTTGTAATATTTACATTCAAATATTTTTTTAAAGGCCACACTAACTTTTTAAAATGTGGTTAAATAACAACAACAACAAAAAAAAAGAAATAAATTAACACTCAGCTGAATCTTTGCATAGCTAATGTGATTTAGGGAGAAATAAAGTTTATTGTGCAAAAAGCTGACAATTGCACTATTATTATGCCATCATAGACTGATAGCTGAAATCAGCAAAGCACCGCTTGAAAAAAACCCAGCATAGTATTGTCACAGACATACCTCTTCCACGGGGCATTTTTGATGTGCACTATTCATGAGTGCTAGAGGAAAAAAAGAAGGGGTTAAAGTAGAGAAAGAGGGCTCAAGGAAGAAAAAACAATCCTATATGTCAATAGACAAGATTAATTGGATATGTGTTGTTAGTCACACAAGAATAGTGCAAATTTATTATAGTGCAAAATTTTATTTATTTTTATTTATTTATTTTAAATTTCAGGTTTAAAAATAAAAATAAAAAATAAAAAACTGATAGTTCAAAATAAAATTTTAAAAAATCAAAAGCAATTTAATTGACTTTTTAATTTCTATTCTCACACTGAATTTAATGGGGATTTACTTATTGCCTGGCGACGTCATCTTAATTGTTAACAGGAAAACTGAGAAAGAAAGGACCTCTGTACTGTTGATTTCATAGTTTGAATGCTCTTTTTAGGTATGTATTGATTGGTGTCTGTTTTGATATAAACTCTCTTGTTTTATTTACTTTATAAACAGATGGGATATACTTTATACACTGATGGTCTGACCCAACCCCCAAGTAGTTGAATCAGATTCTTCAGTAATATGCATTCTATCCATTCCCAGCTTATCCTTTAACCCCCATGTATGCATAAATATACATTTCCCTTCTTAGATTTTCCCTTTCACTAAGAATAAAGAAAAGAGATAAATCTCTCCAACTGGTATGAGATACCTATTTGCAATAAGTGTTGTTATAACCATGTCGGTCTCAGGATATTACAGAAAGCAAGTGGATAAAGTCATCTCTTTATTGGACCAACCTCTATTATAGTGAGAGAGAGAGAAGCTTTCACCGAGCTCTTCTTCAGGTCTGTGAAATGTATTCAGTGTCGCAGCTAAATACAAGGTGGAACAGATTGTTTAGGATAAGTAGTTACATATTTCAAGGGATCATTCAAGGTGAAATGACACATTAAACCTCTCCACTCATAAGGGTATAGGCGGGGAAATAAGGCAGGGGGCTGTAAAGGGGTTATAGATTGGTGTAATAAGCCATAAATCCAGTGTCTCTGTTCAGCCCTTAATTTTTAGTATCTAGAAAAATTATGAATTTAAGTTCCCAGGCTCGTCTTTTGAAGGTGTTGTGCAGGTTTCCTTTGAGGATGAGGACTAAGAGATCAGATATAGAGGGATCACTTTGTGAAAAGTATTAGCAATATAAGTGTTCTACTCTTTGCACTGCCTTGCTAGAAGATAGCTGGCAACTGTCTGTCTTGAGAAATGATGGTGTAAGTGCCAAAGCTGTTCAGTTACTATGTATCATACTGCAGTGTTGTGAATGGCTAAAAAGTCCAATTCTCGAGCAACAGATTGTGTAGGAGTGATGCGCAAGGCCAGAAGATGAAACCGGTGCACTACTGGCACTTAAGGTCTGCTGCACTTTCCTCTTTGCTCTGTCTTCACTTTTCTCTCTCTCAGCCTCTGACTTCCTGGTGCAGCACAGTCCTCCAATGTAGCCTTTTGCTAGTTCCCTTTTCTGGGCTTGCAGTGCAGATGTTGAAAGTTTTCAGCTCCCTCTTGCAAACTTCCTTGAACTTGAGCCTACGATGGCCCAGTGACCTTGGAGCATCCACAAGTTCTCCATACAGGAGGTCCTTTGCAATGTGTCTATCATCCACCCAGTATAGATGACCAAACCAACAAAAATGTCTCTATTTAAGAATAGTGAATAAATATCAGACTTGGCAATTTTGCTTTCTCAAATACTTTGGTATCAGGGACTTGTATGTGAAATCAAACTAAGATAGCAGGTGTGGAAAGTGTTTAGCCTTCTTTCGTGCCTTCTGTAGATGGTCCAGGTCTTGTCACTATACAGCAGCATGCTCAGGACACACCTTGTGCCATAATCAATGTCTTCTTTAGACTGATCACTGATGGTTAGACCAAATTTATCACAAGCTAACACAAAGCTATTGCAAAGTTTCTGGAGTGCCTATGTGAAACAAGCCCTGAGCTGTTGGCAAAAAAGTTCGAATTCTGCTTTTAGACAAGCAATGTCGAAGAGTTTTCCATCTGATCTTGCATAGAGATGTGTACTCTCGGTGCTAGAGGAGAAAGTATACTGTGGATTTTATTTCAGTGACTAGGAGTATTTCTTCAAATTATGCTGCAAACCAGTCCTTATCTTGTGCAGTCTTTTTACCAATGGCTAAGATATTCATCCAGAATGCGCTCAATACTCCATCAGTATTCAGGAAGGGGTAATCAATGACATAGTTTCCCAGAGATTCATAGTGAATTGGAAACACCTTCCTTGGTCTTTTGTGTTGTTGATGTTAATTTGTGTGCAACAGCTTTGTTTAGAACAATGGAATTTCTGTAGTGAAAGCCTGACTTTGCAGCATACATGTGCATGGTCTGCATCATGGTCTGCACCACAAAAACCGCGAGTATGGAGAACATCCTGCAAGTGTTTTCTACAACTAACAATTAAATTCAGTTGGTGCTAGTGTCCAGATCTGGAGTGTCTCCACAAGACCTTTTGATGATGACAGCATTGAAAGTAAGTGTTGGTAATGCATGTTCCTTGCTTGGTACAGAACTAACCATTTGTAATTAATTTTTTCCACTCTATGGGGGCAAGAACCTAGCAGCCACATCTCATGATCTGTGCTGACCCTAACAATGAAGTATCCCAACAGATAGAGTTACTTGCCTGATGGTAGCTTACTGATGCTATCAAGGTGTTTATAGAACAAATCCTTCTCTTCAGAAATGGAAGAAAGCGTTGGGCATATATATGATGATATTGGCAAAACCACCTGTCATAGATATTCTTAGTGATATAATTTGTCCTGATGTTGCAATGGGATGGATGCTAATGAGTTTTTGACTGCAAATACCACCCCATGACCAGAGCACTCTTCTTTGCTTTTCCTATGCCAGAAGAGGGTGTAATGAATCTTTCGTAGAGAGCCTGTGTCAGCTAGTCTGGTTTCAGAGAGAGTGGTCAGATCAATGTCAATGTTCTCCAGCTCTTTATCGATCATAGAATACTTTCTAGGATCACTGACCTCCTCCAGGTCATTTAACATACCAGGGCACATTGTCCTCAAATTCCAACAAGCAAGTTTGAAGAGGATGATCATTGTACCTTGAACTTTGGCACATACTCAGCGGAAATAAAGAAGCAGATGCTTGCCCTAGGACAAAAAGTCCCCCTCTTGGTGGGACTGACTAGACACAAAGGCTTGGAGATCAACATATTTGGAAGCAAGCACAGCTGCAGGAACTACCTGAAGAAGCGGATGCCAATCACCTGATATCTTCTCCACCGTGGACTGGGTATAGGGTTTCCTCTCCTAGCCTTTGTAAAACCAAAAACTAGATGCAAAGTGGTAGCACCAGATGGAATTATTCTTTATGGATATTGTTTTTCATTCCAACAGGGATCTGGCATTACCCCATCAATCAGGATTCCCAGTTTAGTCACTCGACCTGCAGAAGGTTGTACTGGGTTACATGGAACCAGTAGCAGGCCTTACATGCCTGGCCTGACCTTATCCCTATGAGATACAAAGTCTTATTCAAGGGCTATGCCCTAATATTCAAAGCCTTCCATAAGATTAGCCCCAACTATTGAAAAGATCAATTCTCCCTCCATAACCATGAATTCCCTTGACAGCTAAATTCCACTAGAACAATAAATGACACTTTCAACCAATGGGAGAAGTTCATGAGTGCAGGAGAAAGAATTTTCATGGGGCTTGGATCTAAACTATGGAACTCACTCCTGCAAATAAATAGAACAGCTCTGTGTAAGCTCAAAAGCTTGTCTCCCTCACCAACAGAAGTTGGTCCAATAAAAGATAGTACCTCACCCACCTT